AAAAAAAAAAAAAAAGGAAAGAAAAAAAACAAAGAACGATTACAATACCTGGTTCGGCTGAACTGCCGAACCAGCTAAAAAAAACAGGAAAAAAAAAAACAGAACGATTACAATATCTGGTTCGGCTGAACTGCCGAACCAGCTAAAAGATAATCAGAAAAACAATACTGTTTCGGCAAAGTTGCCGGAACAGCTAAAAAACTCCTATGCTCCTTCATTTTCCTTCTAAAAACACCCTCCTAGTCGTGGTGAACAGCCTCCTGTTTTTGCCTTCTAAAACTATCCTCCTAACTGCGACGAGTTGTTTCGTATAAACTTTAATCCGGCTGAACGGGCTTATTCAGGTTCTCCCTTGTCTAACAACATCTTGTCCCATTTTTGCCGAGATCGACGAAGTCTGAATGGTCTTATCCATATACAGTCGTCTTTCTGATAATGGCACACTACTATAGACGGTATAAATCTCCTCCATTCCCACAATAGCTTACAACGTTTGACGTATCACGAGATACGTCTAAGGCTGTAATCCTTCAGATATTGCAATTGAGTTTCCAATAAGAAATACAGGGTAATCAGAGACAAGAAATTTCATTGCAAGGAATTTGGCGTCAGGGAAAAACTCCAATGTAGTTTTCATCGCGCACAATGTAGCTCAGTATGTTAACGAGTCACAATTGGCAGGAAGCTAAAAGTAGGCCATCAGTGTACTGCTGATGAATGGGTCGGATTACTGCACGCTGCCGCTATGATTCTGCAAAGCATGTGGGCCACGTCTCATCATGGACTTCAATTTTTGGCAATGGAAATAAAGTCGTGCAGTTTAGGTTCCGTTATTTGGTATAAAACCACACATTTCTTCAAAAATAAACAGATCACTTAGAACGGAAGTCTTTTGGAATCACTGGACTGTTCCTGGAATTGGATCTCAAGGTTATAGAATCGGCGGTGGTGTGGATTCGATTCCTTGAAAAAGTGGAATCGCAACTCGGATTCCCAATTTGGAATCGATTCTACCCGATTCCAGCACGGATTCGCCCAAGCCTGATGCATGGATACATAAAGTTGTGAGACCACGATTTATATTAGCAAATACTTTCTACATGTACTTTCTATTCCTACTGGTCAAAAGCTTGTCCCACTGCAGGTCCTAAACAGCTGAAAGAAGCACTGGCTGGCTGTGGGCCACCTCAAAATGACATTGTTTTAAGACAAGTCACAAGAGGGACGTATCATAAAATGGTGTTTGAAATATAAAGGAAAAGTTGTTGAAGTAAAAGAAGTAACATTTTGAACAAAATTGTTGGAACTTTATATTTGTCTAAAATGTTCCAAATTTGTGACTCTAAAAAGATATTTGTGAATATTTAATATTTAAGACCAGCTAACGATATAGTTATTCCCATAATCAAGCAATATGTAACTTTACATATTCCATATCTTAAAGTTTGTTCATGCATAAAAAAACACAATTTAAAAATCCATGGACATTAGCACATAGTGGGTAAGGAAAAGAATTAGTATTGTGGTTGTTCTTAGTTCAAATCCCAGAGGTTTTTATTTCTTGTTTTCCCTCACAAATTCTTTCTGTTGGAAAAGATCAATTTTGAAAAGTTGTTACATCCACTACCCAAATTTGTCACCCTGAAGAATATTTCATTTTACAAATACACACTTTAACACGTTCTCGATCAGGTTAAAACAGTAATGTATTTCAGTCGTGTTCCAAACAGGGACTGTTTTCTGTAAAACTTTGTTAAAAGCGGTGGGCACTTGGACAGGCTGAACTTATGGAGAGGAACACACTCATCCACAAGAAGTAGTGGTATCAGAAGATACTTAACTGTGCACAATACCAGCACATAGCAAAGATTATTTAATATTTATAACAAAAACACATCATGAAAGCAAAAGAAAATCTGGCATTCATGAAAACCTGTATCTGCAAACAGACTCCTTCAAAAAATGGACAAAATAATCTTCAATGGGTGGCCTCTGAAGATGACTAAATCTTGCCCCAAAATCATTAGGATTCTAAATGCAATTTTATGCCTTTTCTGTGACTTTTTAAAACTCAAATTATGAAAGTACATGGCCTACGTGTATGTCTATAATATGTAACCACCATTCTGAAACTTTATGAAACAAAAGAATCTTTAACATTAGTAATGTGATGAAAGCCTTTTTAATGTCTAATTAGAATACCTTATGTGTGTTTGCTCATGGCTCACGGCATGTTGAGAATTTGGCTTGTTCTTTTCTTAACCAGGACTCTTTTGTTAAGTTGGATAGGCTTGAGCAGAGCTAAGTGTGCAGTCTGTAGATCAGTCATTTACATTTGAATTATTTTGTATCACCAGAGAATGGAGGGCCAACTCCCTTACATTCCTTCTTTTGAAAACTGGGTTGGGCACTCTGTATAAAAACTAGAGCCCACTATTGCCTGTTGAGGATTTGCGACTGGGTGCTGGTAAAGGCAACATGCTGTTTTGATTTGTTTCTGTTGCATGTACATGTATGAATACCACATCTGAAATATGTGGATATCCTGACAAATTCTTTAAGTTTATTTTCTATCTTCATGCATTTGTGCCCCGTGCCTCATATCAGCCGTGCCTGTAGTCCTGTTATTATTTCATAAATTACTGGTTGTGCTGTATAATTGTAGATGCAGTAAGGAGTACTGATCAAACTGTTTAAAGATGGCACTTGATTCGGTTACTTGCTGGCTAGAGCCACGAGCTAATTAGATTGTGAATTACAGCTGAGAAACTTGTTAGGCTAATTCAACCATTTGAATCCATACTGTCAAATTGTAAATACTTGAAATGATGCAATTATTTTTGTTCATTAATTAAATGCCAGAGGCCAGTTGGCCAGTGGCGAATTTAAAAATAGTTCTTTTCTGTTTAGTTGATTTGTGTGTGTTCCGACTACTGGCGGAGTCCTAATTAAAGGGATTTTGTTACAGTAACTTGACAATTGAGTTTATACTGGCTTTAACCCTTTGAAAAACAATAACAAACTTACCATTCAATGACATCCAAAAGCCAATTCAGCTCAAATGTACGAGTACCCAAGGAAGGCATTCTAGGCACAAGGTGGATTGGCACTTGTGAGAGTGCCCTCGCCTGCACCTCTGCATTGTTACACATTTTACTTCTGTACAAAGCACTGGCAATGAGGCATACAAGGTGAGCCTGTATTCAAAGGAAATATGAAAACTAGAAGGTACAACATTGGTTTGATTTTTCAATACATCACATGACAATCATTAACTCTCCAGAAATGGTACAGTTTCCCCAAAAATATTTCGCATAAGAGAGAAATCACACACGAATGCATCTGACTGCTCATTTATTTTCTGAAGTAAATTACCCAGCTGGAGAAAACATGACAGTAAGTGAAATGTACATATGCAGCATGCTAATTTGACAACAGGAATCTCTAGGATTTTTTGTACAGGATCGGGAATTCAAAAACTACCTAAAATCAAGTTTAACCACTTCCTGCCGGGGAATCCGGGATCGGAGACAGTTTATGGTTTATATTGGTGGCCAGGGTCTCCGAACTCAGACAAAGGAAACAGGGCCCTGTAACAAAAGACCGTACTCCAAACAAAAGACCAGGCTGCTGGGCATTACCGACATGTTTCACTCTCAAAAGTGGTGATAATCCAGCCTTCTTTTGAAACCGTATTCCAGGGTTTGGGGCATTGAGAGCGAGCGGATTACCAGCGGGGACAAAAGTGCTCCACCACCGCAGCGATGAGCCACACAGCGCGGCTGCACGCTTATCTGGCCCCTATTGAAAAGAGGTCAGCAGTGCACTAAGCCAGGTTCGTGAACAAAAGACAGTTATACAACACCG